TAGCTACGCCACATATTCCTTTCCATATCAGACATACAACGTGCCGCCAGCATCGAAATGAGAGACTGATCTGCGTAGACGAGCTCCTCAGGCTCAGGATGCGTAGTCCAACAGCGCCGGTCAGTCGGTATAACCAACTATACCCGCAGATGCCTCGGCTCAACAGGACGCTGACAGCCCAAACAACGCGCAGATACAGATTAACTGCTCAGGAACCGAGTCCATACGCCATCTGGGGAAATGAGCCGATGGGCGCGCATTCCGCAAGATGCCTAACCTTGGTTCTGAAATCTTGACGTCGTAGATCCATGTAGCTTTCCCTTGCGGTCTGCCCTCTGATCTTTGTTATTGATTTCGATTTTTACCTTTTCTCTCCTTTTTATTTGATTTCTTTTTTCTGCTTTCTTTTGAAGTTGGCTCTTCCTCTCCAACTTCCACTACACATATTGTCCAAGCGTTCTGTTCCATACAAAGTTTCTTCTGACCTGCCGTCTATACTGCTTTTTACTTCTTTCGGAATTGGCCGTTTTGCTCAATTTTTCTTCTTTCTTCTCTGTACCATTTAAGCATTTACACCGTACTGCATATCATGTAGACCAGACCGTCTGCCTCAGTGTGTTTCTTGTTGTTTTCCCTTTTGCTATGCTCGTTTGCGCATATTCTTTCTAGATTTTTACTGAATTGTCCAACAGTTTTGTTCTTATTCCTTCTCTTTCATCATACATATTTTTGACTTGTTTTCCTCTCACGCCACTAGACCCGGTGAGTTGAGTTGATTCGTTTCGGAGCTGCGTGGGACCTTTTGCCTTTATGGGTTTTGTTTGCTCGCGGGACGGAATTTGTATGTCCTTTTTCTTCCCTATATGTCCGGGACATAAGAGTTATACAACCTTTTTATTTATATATCCCTCTGCCGACCTTGTTCTGTATTTTTTTTCAACTCAACCTCGAGCTTTGTAGACCGGTTTTTTTATTTTTATTTTTATATTTATTCCCGCCCCCCTTCTTTTTCATATGAATTCCCCGACCGCGCACAGCGATGGCGAAGACAGCTTCCAGTCCAATAGGAAGCGACAACGATGCACTGATAATTGAAAAGGCGGTGTCCTTTTTATTATTATTATATATTTACAAGTTTTCCCGACTATTCAAAAGATGTCCTTGGTTCAATGCTCGGATCTCGCCAAGGAGAAGTTCGAAGCTGCGGTTCGAAGCTGCGAATGAACAGGTTGGACGGGGACGCCACATTTTTCTCTGCTGCTTAAGTTAGTCTGGTGTCAAACTAGCGGACATACAGGCCCCCATCTGACGGAGACCGTGGCCTTCTGGGAAGGGGTTGCAACATTCTCAGAATTACATGTCAAAATATGACTATTTCATTAGAACCCGCAGCCGAGCGCCTCCTTCTTTCACGGGGATGAATGTTGGTGCTCTTGAGTCTGAAGCAGTCTGGTGAGGCGGCGATAAACCTCATGGGCCACAATGCAGTTTGGCGAGCGACGAATGCAACTAATAAAATCTCGGAAGCCCGTGCGGTATTATTGACTTTGATGATTAAGTCCACGAGCGAAAATCAACGGCCAGTAATCAAAGTAACTTGCCTCTAATTCCTCCGGAATGCCTCCCAGCTTACCCTATCTTGGTAAGGTAAAATAGGTAGTTTTGAGGCTACCTGGTATAGCGTGGGGTATTCCACCGTGCAATTGGTCTCCCAGAATCCCTTTCACTTGACATTGGATTGTCACATGGATTCACGTTATTATCAAACTTCAGCCAATGTTGTAGTTATACTTCGCCCGAGAAGCAGGTCGGCTACTTATAAAGCTCGTGTCGATCTCCCCCGAGGGCACTGCGAGCCATCTCTTCTGGATGTTCTGATATTGTTAGATGCTCATCTTCACCCTTCTGCCAGGTCATGACACAGGTAAGGATCTCGGAGACTCCCCGCCCCCAGGAGGAGGAGCATCCCCATAGCACATCCCAAGACGCAACCAGCAAGATTTCCGGCAACAATGCGAATCGGGCCCGCTCCACCCGCTCCACCCGCTCCACGTCCTCCATGACTCGGTCAAGCACAGACAGTATTACTGCCGACGATGGAATCCGCAACATTCGCTCTCGGTTGGTTCAACCCTCTGGCAGGCGCAGTGACACCACCATGGAGCTAGGCGACGATGACCCTGGCTTGCGTATGCCTGGCGACTTCAAACAGAAGCAGGTAAATCGTTATCATTACCCCTCATGGGGCTAGTCATTGCGCTCAATGTTTTGGGCTGCCACAGGTATTCACTGGGAGAAGGCTTCTGTGGCTCTCGTATCAATCAATCGGTGTCATCTATGGCGACATCGGGACGAGCCCACTTTATGTTTACTCGTCGACCTTCACCTCGGCCCCCTCACGCCGAGACGTCATAGGAGTGCTGTCGCTTATCATCTGGAGCCTGTGTATGATGGTAACAGTAAAATATGTGTTCATCATCCTGCATGCGGATAATGATGGCGAGGGAGGCACATTCAGCACGTATTCGCTGCTCAGCCGCTATGTAAAGGACCAATTCCCCTAAACACTGGAATCCAGCTAACTACGAGTCATTCTAGATGAACATCACCAATCGTGATCCCCGCGAGGCATCTCTTATAGAGATAAAAAGACATCTGTCGGGCGACCTCAAAGCAACCACTCGAACAGCGCGCCAGCGTCTGGAATCAAGCAAGTGTGCAAGGGCTATTCTCAAAGCAGTGGGAGTGTTGGCAGTGACCATGGTCATCTCCGATGGACTTCTCACGCCTGCTCAATCAGTTCTGGGAGCTGTCCAGGGAATCAAAGTGGTGGATCCGGATATCAACAAGAGCACTGTGATCGGGGTCACCAATGCGATTCTGATCATACTTTTCTGCGTTCAGCCGCTGGGAATTTCCAAACTTACGTATGCGTTCTCACCCATCGTCATCATCTGGCTTGGCTTCAATGCTGCTTTCGGGATATACAACCTGGTCAAATTCGACGCCGGCGTGTTCGAGGCGTTCAACCCTGGTTGTGGTGTTGAATTCCTGATCCACCACGGAGAACACGGGTGGAAGATGCTCGGTGGCGTTTTGCTCTCCTTTACGGGAGTCGAGGCTCTCTTCGCTGACCTGGGAGCATTCAGTCGGAGGGCTGTCCAGCTAAGTTGGCTGCTCTACGCATTTCCTTGTCTACTGCTTGCATATGCCGGGCAAGCATCATACATCAGCGTTCATCCAGATGCATATTCGAACCCTTTTTTCAATGCAGCGCCTCCGGGAACCGTTTATCCGGCGCTGGTTATAGCAATACTAGCAGCAATTGTCGCGTCGCAAGCCATCATAACTGCAACATTTCAGGTGAGAACGGCGATGGCCTGAATTGATTATAATGTAAACACGCTAACGCTAAGAATATACCTACAGCTCCTTGTCCAAATAATGAAGCTCTCTTACTTCCCGCAGATCAAAGCAATTCACACTTCCTCAATTTTCCATGGCCAGTTATATGTTCCCGCCGCCAACTGGTTACTCATGATTGGAACAATACTAGTCGCCTCCATATACAACAATGTACATCATCTGCTTATCCAAAGGCTCAACTGCCCTGTGCTAACGTTGAATTAGACTACATCCCTCGGCAACGCGTACGGCGTCTGCGTCATGTTCGTCACCTTCTTTGACACCTGCGTGGTCTCGTTAGTTGCAATTTTCGTCTGGCGCGTCAGCCCGTTCATTGTCTTTCTGCCTTGGCTCATCATCTCCTGTCTTGACGGCGCATACCTGTCTTCCGTACTGACAAAGGTCCCTGACGGGGCCTGGTTCACACTGGTTCTCTCAGCGGTGCTCGCATTTCTTTTTCTGCTGTGGAGGTTCGGTAAGGAGCAGCAATGGTTGGCGGAATCACAAGATCGTTACCCCACGTCACACTTTGTCAAAATAACAACCTCCGGTCTTGGAAACAGCCAGGCTCAGACGCAGCAGCAGCAGCAGCCACCATCGCAGATTCAAGTGCATCTTACAGACCGCTTCGGAAGCGCTCCCGTTAGCATCACCCGTGGGCTGGGCATCTTCTTCGACAAAGCTGGCGAAACTACCCCTATTGTCTTCAGCCAGTTCGTGCTCAAGCTCACCGCGATGCCCGAGGTAACTGTTTTCTTCCACTTACGTCCCCTGGAGAAACCCTCCGTGGCGCTGGATGAGCGGTATACGGTGTCGCGACTCGCCATCCCTCACTGTTACAGACTTGTCGTGCGATATGGATACAATGATGAGATCATTACGCCGGATCTAGCAAGCGTAATTGTGGAGCAGATCAAGTGGTATTTGGTCCAGCAGGGGAGGGAAGGGAGGTTGACAGCTCCGTCACAGTTACCGGTAGTGACCCCAACGGAGTCCAACGAGAAAGCTCCCAAAAATACACCCTCCACTGCTTCAGCCTCCTTATCCAAACCCTCCTCCACCATCCACGCCACTACAGAGCCAAAGCAGCAGCAGCAGCTTGGCGTGGACGCTATTAATGAGGCACTTACCAAGGTCGAATCGGCACATGCACACAAAGTGCTGTACATCATCGGCAAGGAGCAGATGAAGCTCCGGCCCAAGACGAATTATGTTCGATGGACGTTGTTGCAGATATTTTTGTGGATTAGGGAGAACACGCGGACGAAGATGGCGAATCTGAAGGTGCCGACTGACAAGGTTATTGAAGTGGGGTTTTTGAAGGATATTTAGAAATTTTTGAGAGTTGGAGTGGCTATGCTAGGCAATAGGGGTATTTGGGGCATAACCAACCAGGAGAAACGAATGGGAGGAGCATGGGCGTAGCGTTTCGGGTCAATGGTCTATTGCCATTCATCCGCTGTTGTGTGGAAGGGTCATGCCTGTTGTTATATACAAGATCACTGTCATTTCATGTGTCTCAATTCACATTAACACGTATCTACCTAGGTATCCTATAGCCCTTAAGCCCTCACAAAAGTTCAGATAACTGTTCTGTGGCCTTGGTTTGTACACTTCTATTAAAAGAGCTCAGTAATTTTCTTGACAAGCCATCTACAACCTCCCGCCCGCACAATTAACATCAAACTTTCTAGTAAAAGAGGTTCATATATCACCAGCAAACTCAATTGATAAGCTCAGAAATGGCCATGAGCTTTTGTAGAATCAGACGTTGTGTTCGGGGTTCGGGGCCTTCGGGTATCTACGGCCTTCTATCACTCAACCAGAAGATCAAACAGCAAAGTAGCCACCCGGCCGCTATAGGCGGCCCGTACCCTATATATAGTTTGCAAGGCCCAAATAAGGGCCCCAAACGCCCACTGGGCTTGAGCTCTCATCATACAGACTATGTAAATATTTCTCTACTTTAGCTGCATTCTGTAAATAAGATATTTAGGAGTTACGCACTGTCAATTCTCGCTTTTTTAACTTAAAGTAAATGTGTAATAAGGTTAACAAATCACGGGTTGAGTTATTTAACTAGTGAGAAAGAAAATAAAAAAATTTTGATGGCAAGAAAAGTAATAAATAAATAAATAAATAAATAAATATAACATATTGATAAAACAATTCTCATATGATTCAGGAACACAGCAATTATTCATAGATATGTTGACTGCATCCAAATAATCCCATTATTGTCCACTGTTTTAGTTACGCTCTACAGCTGTGGTCCCATCGTTTGGCAAAATCACTGAAAGAATTGCAGGATGAAAAATCGCAGCCTAAATTTATGTTCAGCTAAATAAATAAATCATTCTAGGGAAAGGAAAAACAAAAATAACAAAAATAACAACCCAACAACGTCTTGGATCCTCGACCTCGTCTTTTTCTCTCCCAACTCCCACCACTCTCCCACGCCTCTCAACCCCTCCGCCCACGTCCCCTCTCGATATTTATCCCCGCAGCCTGGCAACCGATTTCTCCTAGCCGCGCGTGTCTGTCCTCCCCCTCCTCCTTTAAAGCCAGCGTCTGGTGCTACCCATTTCCTCTCCCTCCCTCCCTCCATCCCGCTCCCCTTCTCCCGCTCCCCTTCGCCTCCTCTTCTAACCCTGTCATTCCCGCGCGGGGAAATATACTTACAGCATTCCATCTGCTCGTTTAAATACCGTTCAACCCGGCGAAAAAGGGGGGAAATAAATAGCTGAACTGGACACCCTTGTTTGTCAGATACTATTTGTTGTTCTCTTGACATTGTTTGTCCTTCACGATGGGTGAATCTAGGTACTGATCCAAACCTCTACGCCTGCTCCAAACAAAGCCACAGTTGGGTATTCTGGAATGATTTTTATGCTGACTATCTACCTCCTTTCCTCCGGATTGGGACAATATGCAGGCAGGAACTGTTGGCATGGTTGAATAACCTGCTGCAGCTGAACATTACCAAGGTCGAGCAATGCGGCACTGGGTATGCATCTTCTAACATTCCATACTGTCTGAAATGACTTGGCTTTGTCAAGGACTCCACACCTTCTATCCTCTCCCGCTCTTCTGGACTCTGGCATGTCTCTCTCCCCGACTCCCGTGCCGTCCCGTCTCGTCCCGTCCCACCGCTAGCCTACGCGGAGGTTTATGAATATGGACCAATCTCGGATGCAGCGGTTGGGATGAGTTATGAGTGAGAGGCTGGGCTGGAGAGTGTTTACACAATGGAGCTATCAATCGCGGGATGTTGGGATGCTCAGAAATACCGATTTCGTGGATTTGGAATTACTATGAGAGAGATGGCTGACAAGATAACCTTTTTGATGGGGTTGTATGATCTAGGGCTGCATTATGCCAGGTCTTCGATTCTATATACAGTGAGTGCTTCTCAAAGATTGCAGAAAGCTACGGTACATCGTTGCTAACAAAATGGAAAAATATAGTGGACGTTCCCATGTCACGAGTCAAGTTTAACGTCAATACTGAATACGCCTATCTCCAGAACTTCAAGGTGTTGCAAAGTACGAACTCCCAACTGAGCATCCTTTACAGCCTGGTCATCAATTCTGAAAAACAAAAATACATGTGGACACTGTCCAGTGGGAGAAATATATATATATGTATATTCCTCACTAACATACCTGAAAATCAGACGTCTTCATACGACACCAAATAGACCGCCCCGTCCCCGTTGAAAACCTCATCAAGTGCCGAATGCAGGACAACCTTGAATTCCTCCAATGGACTAAGAAGCACTGGGACCAATACTACCCAGGCGGCGAATATGACGCACTCGCCAGACGAAAGGGCGCTGGTCCCCCCGCCCCGGCCTCCTCACGTGGGCCCGGTACAACATCCGCCACAGGCGCGCGAAGAGGCGGGACGACACCCGTCAACTCCACGGGAGGACGAGGACGACTTGGCGGATCTGGCGTTGGTGGGGGGGCCAACTCAGCCGCATTGACGGCGGAGATCAATGCGCAGAAGGAAGCGATTGCAGGCCTGGAGAAGGAGCGCGATTTCTACTTTGCGAAGTTGAGGGATATAGAGTTGTTTTTGCAGCAGGCTGTTGAGGCGGATCCGGAACTGGATAAGGATGATGATTCGCTCGTAAAGCATATTCAAGCTATCCTCTATTCGACTGAGGTATGTCCTGTTTGTAAATATCTGCTCCTGTTATGGTCTGGGGGATCATTTTGGCTAACGATTATATTTTTCTTGTCACAACAGGACGGCTTCGAAATCCCGCCAGAGGCTGAAGGCGTTGCAGCAGGTGAAGAGCTTGAGACTTTTTAAATAAATGGTAGAAGAAAGGTGACATGCTAGAATTTTGCCTTTTGATATTTTTCTCTTTTTCTTCTGTTATCTCTTGTTTCCCATTCAGTCAGCGAACAGTTTTGGTGTTAAACAGTTTTGTGCTCTCTTCCTTTTTCCTCTGTGGCAGCCTCGCCCTCTTTTGCCCACCTTCACCTCTTAAACTAACTGTTGAGTTTTGATTCTTTTGTCATTTCCAACAATGACCCTTTTTTCCTTGGTTTTCTTTTTTGTATTTCCCAACCCCTAAGGCTTCTATAAACCCAATGCAGGGTTTGCCCTCTCATCATTTAACCCTGTCCCGTCATGCGCTGTCATGTCTACCCGGCTTCCCCGCCGCAATCATTTCCTCAGAATATCATGCACACAAAGCGTGCCAAAAACGAGGGGAAAAAAATAGTTTCACGTTATTTTTTGTCTTACGTTTCTCTAATTGTAGACTATGTACCCCTACCTCCTTCATATAATATGCATCCCCTCACCACCAGCCTTTCTCAGCTCCTCTTCATTATCCCCCATACCAAATAATTAACTTCATTGACCAGAGCCTTTCAATTTCCGCTCCACAAAAATCCTGACTACTCCAACTATTCCACCCCACCCTCACCGTGCTCGTATTCTCATTCCATCTGCCCTTAATGCATTTCCGGCTTCCCGAACTTAGAAACTCTCACAATGCAGGGATCGTCGTCAAGTGAAGCCCACGCCAGCGAACAATCGTTAAAACCAAGTTTCGGAACAACCTCTGGAGTTAAACAGCTCCCTTCGAGCAAACGGAATGTTGGCTAATGCGATATATGCGTTGTGTTCCTGTTTCTGATATGTGCAGTTCGATAAGTACCTGGTACAGCACTCAAGGGGTGTTGAACTTTTCATCATCTTTTTAATCATCTTAGATTTCGTTGGCTTTTCTCTGCCCCCTTTCCCGTGTCTTAACTTAACCTCCTGGTTTATACTTTCCACCCCGATTCGTACGGAAGCTCCCACCAAGCTCTCTCTATATAATTTAGGTTTTGCGCAGTCGAGATAAAGTTGAAAGTCTACATGTTAAGTTTCAGAGGAATTTCAGGGGCAACCTTATCTCTATTCTACGAAGCTTCCCACGGTTCTATGCCTGACGCAACTCTAAATTGGCATCACTCCTGGGGGATAGACTCTTCATCCTCACAACTGCCCAGTGGACTGAACAGAGCTAACTACCCCATAGGACGGGTTCAGGTGTCAGGTGGATGACAGCATTTTTGACTGCCAGTTTCGTTGAGTCTAAATGGCAGGGTGGAATGACGGCATTTTCCAAACACTTTGTTCAGCACTCAACTGAAGACCTCTCTCCACTTCATCCCTTTTCTTTCCCTTTCTCTTTTCTGCCCTACCACTACTATCTCACATCATTCATCTCGTCTCTCATCACCTCAATTCCATTGAAACAAATGAAACAATTCATCCCATAAGAGTGGATCCCATCCTAGCCTAAGGAATAAGAAAGCAACAGAGAAACCTACCTACGTGCCCAATTACAGGGAAGGCGTTTTGACTTTGATCCCCCACACTGGAAACTTCCTCTCCGCCCCTTTTTCCTTCGTCTCGTCGCTGTAAACAATATATATATATATATATATACAGGTATCTCAGACCACACTCTTCTCCTTTTCATTTTCAATCTCACTGCCGCTTTCCCGCCGTGAAGAGAGCTGTTTTCTGCCGTGCTGTTGTTCCGTACGCTCAAGTTGCAGGTTGGATCTCTTGATTGATAGCGCCTCCCGTTCCACTTCACTAATGTACATGTATATGAATCAGTTCATGGACCAAAACAGCAACAACCTCCGGTGCGGGATTGCGCAACGGAAGCTGTCAGACATCTTCACATCGGCTGGTTTAGAAGACCTGAGTATACCTGAGACACCGTGGAAACAAAAAGGAGAAACGCGGCGGCCAACCATTTCCACTTCTTCTTTCAAAGGCGCTATACAGGCAGCGGCTGACCGCGGGTCCCGGGAATATGCAAATTCATTCGGTCTCCATGTCCGTTTCGCAAACGACGACACCGGAGCAGCTGACGACGCTATCCACCTACAAGCCCTGATGCGCGCCATGGGTTTGGACCGGGCTCATGAATATATTATTCCGCAGAGTGGGACCCAGAGCTGGGTTCCGGTGATGATGTTCGGGGACCTCCTTAGCGACGCCAGGAGGTGTCCCGGTCGAAGCATCGTCGTTTTTCACTTTGCTGGCCACGCTTACCTGGATAACTGTAAACGACTGGCTTTTCGAGGTAAGGACGACCAGGGGAGGGGCAACAATGACGGCGGGAACAACTATCACAACTTCTTCCACGACGCGGATAGTGACATCGATTCCGATGATGATGACGAGAATTCCAATTCCTCGTTCCCGCTCGATCCCCTCCTGAATCAAGTCTATGCGGGCACAACGTTAAACGACGATGATTGTCAAGTCGACGTCGTTTTCATTCTTGATCTCTGCCATGATTCTAACGATTGTGGGATGATCACGGACAAGACCAAGTATATGCTGCTCACACCAAAGGGCAGCGAAGTCACCAAGAGCGATAGAATCGGGGAAGTCCTCGCGGCAAGCATATGCAAGTTGGCCCCAAGAGGCCTGACAGGAGACGGCGCGACGTCAGATAACCCCCATAGCTACAATGATGGCATACGACAGCGAAATGGACAGAGCTTTACCTCTAAGCTGGCAGATTATGCGGAACGAAGTAGGAAGAGAACTGGCTTTATCGAGCTGGCCGATCTATTCAGTGTTATGCGCGCTCAATATAAATCCTCCGTCACAGACAGGAAGCCCGTGCACAGTCTCATTCGAGGACCGCATTCTGTGCAATTAACGTTCCCTAATAGCCAGCGTTTGCCGTGGGAGTATCCTGCTTCTTGTTCTTCACTCTCCTCTTCTGTTTCATACGCGGAATCATCACCATCCGTTTATGATTCTTCGTCCGATTCGTCTTCTTCTTCTGACGACGACGACGAAGAGGAGGGGGATGCTAATGTTGCGGATGACAATCTGTCCCGATCACCATATCCCCGATGGGTTTCCGGCGACTATCGCGCCATCTTCAGAGTCGATCTTAGACCCAACCACGTATCCAGGGCCAATACCGACATGAAAGAGTTGGTGATGTGGATACGGGGACAAAATGGCGGGTCGATGAAGGTCATCTCGACACAGGACTTTGAACGGGCACCCCCCGGTGGCTATAATCGTAGGAATATTTACTGTGATCGTTGTGGATCTAGCAGGTTGGTTATTGAAGCGCCTTATGCTGTCTATACGCAGCTCAGGGTACTTCCGGGGGTGAAACTGCTGCTTGAAAATCGGTCCAGAGATGTGCTTGTCGGGTCCATCGAGTAGGCTTGCGAGGTTTGGGCGAACTGGTTGATTGGGAGGTAGTTAATGGTGATTCTTCGTGACGGATTCGGGCGATGTATCCCTTTCATTTGTCCTGAAGGCAGCTACATGGCAGGTATGTCGATGTGGTCTTTGTTGGATGATAACTATCCCACAATATGGTTGCTGTGGAGTGGCTTTCTTTCTATTTTCTTTCTTCTTCTTTTTCTTCTTTTTTCTTTTATTTTCTTTTCTATTCTTTTCTTTTCTGTTGTTGTTGAAGTTAAATTGCGGGAATTTAATTGGAAGATTTTGACCATCATGTTAACTGTTGAAGTTGTTGTGTATTAATAATGGGTTGGAAGGCTGTGTTAATCTACTCTAAGGTGTAAGATACTACAACTACAGCACATCTAGCGCTCTGCATGTTATCATCCAATTCACCTTAAACTCACCAAACCCAGTTCTTCACCATTCTTTGGGCTCGGTTACAGTCCTTCAAGGGCATCTCTGGACCCGTTCACTTGGTATTTCTTGAAGTGTTCCATGCGCTGGAATCCGCCTAATGACCTAATCTTATCTTTAACCGGTCAAATTCTATCGAGTTATCCCGTAGTTGCCACAGGTCAGTCAGTGGCAACAGCAAGTGGAGCGCAAGGAACCAGATGAAGGGGGATGTATCAACGGTTGGGCTGTCGGAAGGCAGAGCGTGAGAGGGAACCAGGAAGCTCTAGGAGGGGTGCTGTAGTAACTAGTTATCGAAGTGTGGATTTTAGTGTGTCTTCTACAGATGTACAATTGCACTGTAACTAGTAACTAACTAACTGACATTCTTTTTGCTAAATAGATTTTAAGACTTTGTTTCACTTTTCATTTTTTCCTTTTCAAGCTTCAAACTATTAACTAAATTTTTATTCTCATGAAGTGGTAGTTCTTTCTCAATAATAAGTCTTTCACTAGCATGAATTATTTGTTCAAGATTTTTTGATAAAAAGTGACTATTAAAGTATTAAAGCTGTACTTTTTTTGATATCATAGTATAATCTTTTCCATCTCTACAGCTTCTGTGACAGCGTAGAACGGGCTCCGTCCGGAACTACTCGACAGCGTAAGGCCACCGAGCTGGAAAGGGTAATTGCAACTGCCTAGCAACAGCATAGCAACCACCCCGCAATTACCCCGTAAACAAATACTCAGTAAATGATTACCCCACAGAAACTGCCTAGCAACGACCTAACAACCGCGCTAAGAAAAGGGGTAATGCGCTAAAGCTCTCTTTAAAACTCAGATCTCATCTTTATGTGATCTTTCTTACCTTCATCATTGATTCTTTCTTGCTCATTTATATATGTTAGTTATCAACTGATTTCAGTAACTAGTCTGTTACAATTATCACAGTTACTGACACTGTACAAGAATAGAGTAATGATAATGATAATGATAATGATAACTTAAAAATAATATTAACAATTTAATTATTATATACATTACTAAGATAAAAAAAACTTTAATATTTTAAGCTTTATCATTATAAAGATCTATTATTTAGAAAAGAGTGATGTATTTATTATATATTTTATTTTTCAGTAGTTAAATAGTTATTTTAATGTAATTAATCATCT